ATATATACACTTTTTTTTGTTTTTAATTTAAATTTAAATTTGATTTTTGAATGGAACGCGCATTATGCTGATCTTTGTTCACATATGGCGGTCTATAACATTTTTGTTAACTCGTTTTTAATAGCGCACCAAAAATGAAAAGAAAAAAATTAAAGAGTAGTCGAAATAAGAAATTGCAAACATTGTACACTATTGTACACGAATATATATAATATGTATCAATATATATGTATGTATGCATGTATACACTATATATGCGTTGCAGCTACTTTTTAGTTATGTTTTTAAGTTAATTCGTATAATTTATATTGTCAATTCGGCCAATTAGATAAATCATGGTTTAAGGAAAATTATGTTTATTGTCTTTCATCCTCAAAACCAAAACTAAACAAAAATAAGAAAGAAAAAAAGCCAATTGTCGCCCACAAAACTCCTCTCTGATTGATAACGAAACTAAGAACTTTTTCAGCTTTATACGTAGCAGAGTTTTGTGCTCTACTAATTAACTTATACAAATTGAAATTGAAAATATAAACGTTTTTATTGATTAAAAGTGAATTTTGCAATTTTATTCCTTTATCCCACAAGAATTCAAAAAGATACCGCTCATATGTTCGCGATCTGGCAGCACTGTAGAACTGTCCAGCTGCAGCGAGTGGCAGCTCAGCTGTTAAAATCAGAACATCGAGTACTTTCTGCATGGCCACAACTCCAACGATATTTACATAAATCAGTACATACTGATTTTGACATATTAATCAATATTTGATAAATAAAAATTGGACTTATTTCATATGCACCTTTAGATATGCTGCTTTTAATCAATTTATAGTTTTAAGCTGAACAACGATGCCTGTGAGTGTCGTGAGCTTGTTTAGGGCTCGAATCGATGCCAGTTTATATATCGATACACACATGACTATCGAATTTGCTGTCAAAAAACAGTCTTTTTTTTTGTAGTGTGTCTAACACACAGATACTCCAGATTAGCGCGTGCCACTTTTAATTTCGACGGCCACACACAAAAAAAATAAAAATATAAAAATAATACACACACACAGAAAAACAGCTTAACTGACAACATACAAAATGGGTAACGTGCTTGCGGCCTCATCCGGCGTCGATGCAGCAACGGCGCGCAGCAACAGTGTGGCAGCCAGTTTGGGTTTGCCGGAACCAGCGGCTATTTCATCCACAGAGCAATCAGCGCCCTCGGTTGCCAGCGAAGTGAGCGATGCGTTTGGCAAGGACAATCAGCTGGAGAATCCCGGCACCGTGGAGGAGTTGCATAAAAAATGCAAAGGTAGGCAAATGTCATTCAACAATTGGTGCAAAAAATCGAACAGAATTTTGTTTCACTGATGACATAACCTACAAGCATGTGAAAGGGGGGGTCGGTCGAACGTCCATGTGTGTGTGCGTGTGCGTGCATGCGTTTGTGTGCGTATGAGTGCTGATTATGTATTATCAGTGCAAGTACATATGTGTATATATATTTAAGTATATATGTACATGTGTGTGCCGATCAATATGACTGTGGGAATTGCATTTAAAGCAACTTTTGGCTGTAACCTTTCCTTATCCCCACTTGCATTGCAGATGTCCAGGCCATCACCTTCGAGGGCGCCAAGATCATGCTGAACAAGGGTCTGAGCAATCACTTTCAGGTATCGCACACGATCAACATGAGCACCACAGTTCCGAGTGGCTATCGCTTTGGGGCCACCTATGTGGGCACCAAGCAATACAGCCCCACCGAGGCATTCCCCGTGCTGCTCGGCGACATCGATCCGTCCGGCAATCTGAACGCAAATGTCATACATCAGTTCTCATCGCGTTTGCGCTGCAAGTTCGCCTCGCAGGTAAGTGAAATGTCCTAAACATACCAATTTCATGTCTCAGACATTTTCTGCTTACAGATCCAAGAGTCGAAGATGATGGCCACACAGCTGAGCACAGATTATAGGGGCAATGACTTTACCGCCTCCATAACACTCGGCAATCCTAGCATATTCACCAATTCGGGTGTCGTTGTTGGCCAATATCTACAATCGGTCACCCAGCGCATGGCCCTTGGCGCCGAGGTGGCCTATCAATATGGACCCAATGTACCTGGCCGTCAGATAGCGATTGTTTCGGCATTGGGCCGCTACTCCAACGGAGATTCGATTTGGTCTGGCACCCTGGGCCCCAGTGGCCTTCACTTGTGCTACTATCAGAAGGCCAGCGAGCAGCTGCAGATTGGCGTCGAGGTGGAAACAAGTCTCCGCATGCAGGAGTCTGTTGCGACCATAGCCTATCAAATTGATCTGCCCAAGGCAGATTTGGTGTTCAGAGGTTTGTCCAATTGCCTAACTATGGAAGACTATACCGTTATAAGACTTTGATTGACCGATTGAATGACTAGTTTTAGTAGTTAACGATCAAGTGATTAGTTAACTAGTTGCTTGGCTACGTTTAGACTGATTGAGAGACTGACTGAATTATAAGTGATTGTTCAACTCATCGACTGATTGACGGCTGGCCAAATTGTTGAGATACATTTGATTGACTGATTGACTGAGTAATTTATTATAGTTTTTGCTGATGTATTGCTGGCTAACTGATAACCTGATTGACTAACGTAACTCATCAGCTGATTGACTGAATGTTGGCTGTTTCATTGATCGATCAAATGACTGACCTTTTGATGATTACGCTTTTTGGACACTATTTAGAGACAGATAGGTCTATAGATTGAGAGCTATATTTAAGTGACTTAGGGTAGAAGCTGTAACATCTATTAACCTCCTAGTTTATGGACTTTATGGGCTAAAGTAATGTAGATAGCAATTAATTAACTGACTATTAGACAGATCTAAATACCATGTAAGTAGTACGATAAGCTAATGGATGCTGCTACTTATATAGATAAGGCAGAATGATGAATACTGATAAGCCGACTTTGTAGGGATGAGATGAGAGACAATATCTAATTCTATAATGCATGTATAATACATATATATTCTCTTATGTTTGCAGGCTCAATTGATTCAAATTGGCACATTTCGGGCGTTCTAGAGAAACGTCTGCAGCCTTTGCCATTTTCGTTTGCGCTCAGTGGACGTATGAATCATGTGAAGAATAACTTTAAGCTCGGCTGTGGACTGATGATTGGTTAAGCAACAATGGAACAGAAGAAAACAGAAAAACACACACATACACATACACATACACATCTAGAACAGCAATAGCATCAGCAACATATTAGAGAACAGAAATTGAGCAACAGACAACTGAGACAACATAAAAGGCAGATATGGAAATCTAAACAAAATCGTAATTGTAGTCGTTCATTACACACACCCACACACACTTACACGCACCCACACACACACATACAACTGCAGCAAGCATAGCATATACATGTACATATATATATATAA